TGGTACCCATTTTTTTCAAAATGCATTTTTCTCTCTCTTCTTTTCAATCATATGTTCTTTATTAAAATAATATTACACGTATATTAAAAACTTTTTCTTATTTTTCAACCACTCATTTTTCACCAATTTACTATTCAAAAATGCATTTTTACATAAAAATGTTTCACAAACACTCTCTTAATGATTATAGTCAATACTATAAGGATAGTGACTTCGCAATTTCTTCTGTGACGATCAGTTTAGTTCACTATGCTCCCTTCCCTTTCTTCATTTAGACACTTTTTATCCCATTCTCAGCGTCACTCTGTTTCTCCCTTGATTTTTCGTTTATCTTCGTGGTTTGGGCCAAGATCGGAAATAACAAATTACCTTTAGCTTCTCCAACGACGAAGCACTTACCAGTTTCCCTCCATTGGTGATTAGGACAGCAACTGGGGGTGGGATAATGAGGCGGCAGCAGGGCCTCTTCCTGCTCTTCTGTGAACTCCTGCAGCTGGTGCGGAGCCAAAGAAAGGAGGGAGTCGTGATATAGGACACATATGAGAAAACCTTAGTGAATGAAGGCATGCTCCGAGGTGGGGTGAACATGGTTCGATTTGGACGGTTTGTGGCAAACTTTCAAACCAAATCACTTAAAGAGCTTTGAAATTTTTCCAAACCAAACCAAACGATTTCAATTTCTATACCAAACCAATCAAAATCACTTTTTGCGGTTTGACTCGGTTTAAAATCACAGTTTAGCAAATAAAAAGTATCATATATCGAATAAATTAAATCATAAATCTTAGTCTAAAATTTTACATTAAAACATATATAGTATCGTTAAAAATATTACAGATCAAAGTTCTATAATTCTAGTCATTATAATGCAACAACATGACATAAAAAATTTAACCTCTTAGCCGATACTAATTGGCGTAAGATGTGCAATTGTAATACATGATTCACTCTCCATAAAATATGGATTTGGCTCTTGGGTAAGTGCAAGTGTACAAGCAGCCTTCCACCCTGTACCCTTGGAGGCATAACCTGCGATTTACCTCCCTCACGATACTCCAGGGCATGGGTGGTGGGGGACCCTTAAGGTTAGGGTTTAACCTTTTTTTTAAGAATATAATACATAAATTCGTTGATTATAATTAAATGATATAAAATAACTAATAAAATAGAATGAATAAAAAAAATCACTATATGTTCTTTGTTACTATGCAACAAATTCTTAGAGTAAATTACCTCCTCAACTATATTTGCTTTCAACGAACTCATCAAGGAATCAAGAATTTAGGGATGGCAATGAGTCAAACCTTTAACCCACGAGCTTGGCTCGGGCTCGTGGGCCAAGTCGAGTCGAGCCAAGCTCACGAGTTGCTTGGGAGCTCGTGATTTTTTTTTATTTTTTCTAATTTTTTTTTTGTAAACTTGCACATTTTTGGACCCCTTTTTTTTTTTTTTTTTTTTTTTTTTTTTTTTTTTTTTTTTTTTAATTTTCATATTTTTTGAAGAGCCCACGAGCTCGACTCATGAGATTGAGCCCCCTGCTCGGCTTGGGGCCCGAGCCGTCCATGAGCCGGGTTTTGACGAGCCGAGTGGCCTCTCAGCCCGTTTGACATCTCTACAAGAATTCGACTACTAATATGGAATGCAGACTTAAAAAATTGTGGATATCTAAATAGCCAATGGATTTTTAACAATTTAAGGAACAATTTTGTACTTATTTGTATTTAATTCCACCAAAGTAATATGTGGAAAGGCTCGTTCATTAAAATTTCAAACGACCATTTAAGTAACCTACCAAATCATTGTAGCAATTAATAGTAAAATCTAAAAACTAAATTAAAATGTAAATAAATAATTGAGTGAAAAAATCTAAAAACTAAATTAAAATGTAAACAAATAATTAAGTGATCTGACCAGAAACTTATTTGCTAAAAATTTAAGGGAGCCCAACACAAATTAGAATAAAATATCACAACTACCAATAAGCATTAAAAACAATTACCAAAAAATAATAAATTTTAGATAAATTGACTTGAAAATTTTCAAAATTCAAGAAAATTATTAGTAAAAGGAAAAGAAATGTGTGAGCTTGAATTAAAATCTAGATTTAATTGTGCGTTCCATTATAATGGGCGGTTGATGAATCTGGTTTAGTAGTAGTTCATCACTTTACCCATCTTTGAGGGTTTTGCACTCACAATTGTGATAACTTATGGATATTTGTATATGATTTAATTAACTAATTGAGATGGATAATTGTTATGGATAATTGTCTATTTTAGTATTGAGTTTAACTGAGTTGTGTTTAACATGGATGTATATATTTAACTAGAATGTGTTTAGTTTTAATTGAATTGCATAAAATATTTTTTTATTTTTTTTGGTAAACGGTTTGTAAAGATTGAAACATAAACCAAGCCATTTTGAGGCAATTTGGTTTGGTTTAAAACTAAAACATAGAGACGGATCCACATGGACCGAAACTAATGGTTCCAAAAAAGTGGTTTCGGTTCAATTTTGCTGTTTAACGATTTCATATTCAGCCCTACTCAGAGCCAGAAGATCTGATAAAGATCTGGAAGAAGATCAACAACTTCAACAGTGTTCTCCGAATCTCTACTGTCCGTGGAGCGTAAATTTCAGCCGCTGCTATCCTGAGCATATTATATTATGTTAGTACTAGTATAGTAGTATTATGATAATACTAGTTATTTTTGGAATCTCTCTCTCTGCTTCTCCCAGGAAATCAATGTGCAGAACATAATACATGGTTGTTTTAATTTTGAGAGAGAGAAAGAGAGACAAAAGAGTGGCGCGGCCATAATGGAGGCTGTGGCTGATGATGTCTAGATAGAGAATGGCATGTGTTAAGAATGAGAATGGGAGAGAGAATCAGCCGGCAGTACTTTATTACTGTATTATCAGTTCTATTTTTTTTTCCTTTGGTCTTTTTTCTTTTTATTTTTAGCTTTTTTTTTTTTTTTTTTTTGTCCCCCCCCCCCCCCCCCTCTCCTCTTTTAATACTAATATTAAATTTTCTAAAAATAAGAAAACATGAGATTTATTCATATTTCATTGTCAATACTCTTGTTGAAGTACCAATTAAGTCATGCTTTTCCTTTAGCCAAGAATCTTTTGCAGGATAAACATAGAATAATTTTAAAAACTAATAGTAATAACAAAATGTCAACTTGATAAATGTAAGAGTAGGATTAGAATAAAATATGAATTGGGAGACTTCATTGTTGCTCATTGTCCAACTACATCAAAGATATGAAATATATGTTAGAGGATGATAAATATGTAGACAGCTTTCACGAATAGTGAAATGAATAGTTTCATGAATAAGATGATGTCATAATTATCCCGATCGATGTGAAAAACAAGAGTCATGTTGCTTGCACAATCATTTCTTACAATATTGGTTGACAATCATACTTGTCAACATCACGTTCATCGATTTCAAAACTTGTTTTTAATATTAATAGACCAGATTTTGATAATATCAATGTTGTCATCCATTATTGTTAACAACAATTGTACGAGCAGATTAATTCGAAAAACAAACGTATGACAGGTGACAGATATGGTCAAGACATCTAAATTAGATGACCAAAGTATTCCTTTAATTACTTTGCGGAGACGATTTAAACATAACTAAGCTTGTAATTTTGCAGGTGATGTTTTGATGTTGAGGTGGTATACTTGTGCAAATGGTTCCACATACCCATGATCCAGATTTCTGTGAACTGGATTGAAATTCCTGGATCAAAGGTTAATTTATTAAGCATTCCCAATATGTTGTGGGAGATGGCTCTGATGTCTTTCGGTTATAGAAGTGGCATATGGAAAAATTATGCCTGAACTTGTTATTTTTGGTGAACAACGGAAAAAGACATCGATTAACGTTCGAAGTGGGTTGATATAGGACTTTCTATGTACAACACATTTCAACGATGAAAGCTGAATGGATCTTCTTTGTAACAGAGAGACATCTCCTGTTTCGGACTTAACTATATACGAAAATCCTTTACTTTTGGGATAGTTAATTTTCATGTTTTTAGATAAACCATGAGCATTGGTTGATCATAGCATAATTTTCTTTGTTATCTTAGACTCTATTCACCTCTTTGAACTTGTATCGAATCAAGAAAAAGGTTTGTTTATATTGAGATTGAAGAATTATGGCTTCTTGTATCTCTTACTATATGAATATCTTCTTCCATTTCTATATAAATCGTCTTCTATTATTTAATTTTAAGTAGAAATATATTTTGAATGGTTTCAAAACTTTCAATGTAATTAGTCGTTTGTTTCAAACATGAATTTGTTCTACTGCCTAACATGTATGCAATTTCATATCCAGTTGGGGAAATTGCTGGTAAAGTCGGTAAATAGGCACAATTATCAATGCTATTTGATTGCAATTTGAACAATGGCTTCAAGCAATTACAGTGAATAAATTTGTTAGAGGGAGGGTAAATGAGACATTTCAAATGATTTTTAGGTTGGTTAAACTTGACTTCAGATAATAGTAAACAAGTTTTAAAATATGGTGTTGATAAAATTAGGTAAAAGGAATTAAATTTTATTAACCCTATACACACATGTATACTGTTATCAAAATCAAATCGAATGACGTGTTCGATATATCGAATTTAATATGAACTATGGAGAAATAAAGACGTTAACAATTCCAAACGTGTCATAATAGTCTAACTAAAACACAAAAACAGGAAGGATAGAAATCCTAAGCCGAATTATTTAAAAATAAAAAATAAAAAAATTGAAATTCTATTCTCGATGTTTCTGTTCAAATCTTGAATATTCTTTAGTCCAAATATAACTCATCATATTATCTGACAATTTGAAAAGAGTAGTTAGATAGATATTTGTTATGCTAATGCAGTAGTTATAGTTCCAACGTCATGTGGACTATTTCTTCCTATATACACTCGAATTTACATATATAAATTAAAAACTTCCTTTGGAATTACATTTCATTGTTTCAACATAAAAATGGGATCTCTCATGTATGAATTCAAGAAGCAAGCTTCATTCTTCTTGAAAGAGAAAATCAAGACTGCAAGATTGGTTCTCACGGATGTTACTCCCGTGCAAATGTAAGTCCTCACTCCGTCACTTAAAAATTTTATTCTTTTATATAAAGATTCGTGTCACAAGATGTGAATTCAATAAATCAGATCTCGACAAGACAACTAAGGTAAACTACTACCCTGACACAATAGTGGATCCGTCGTCAATATGTATTATTTTGTGGATTGGTATGTCTTTCTTTATCCGGGGTTTAGAACGGCCTAAGAAGAAATATGGGCAATCGTGCTTAGTTTGTTGTTTTTGTTGTTGTATTATTTGATTTTTACGAGAATCCCTGGAATATAAATTCGAAATCTTGTGATTTTGGATTGGGGCATGCAGATTGACAGAGGAAATAACAAATGGAGATTCAATGGCTTCAAACACGAATGCCATGAGATTAATATCACATGCAGCCTTCGAAGTGGATGATTACGAAAGAGTTGTGCATATTCTGCATGAAAGGTTCTTTTCTTGTCCACAATTGAATTCAGTAATTTTGTGTCTTAATTTGAAGGAACGAAGAATTAATTCGTTAATTTGTTTTGGTTAAGGTTGTCCAAATTTGATATTTGGAACTGGCGAGCCTCTTATAAGGCTTTGATTTTGTTGGAACACCTTCTTACCCATGGACCACAAAGAGTGGCAGATGAGTTTGAAAGTGATGAAGACATTATTAGAGAGATGGCAAATTTTCGATATGTAGACGAGAAAGGGTTAGTCTTAATTTGTTATTCGCCCTTTTTTTTTTTTTTTTTTTTTTGCGTGTTGCGTAAGTGTTAAAAGGAAGAAATTTAATACATTATGGGGAATCACCTTATCTAAAAACATAAATTTTTAGAAGAGAGATGAATTCAACTCAACCTCATGTTAAATTACCACATAAAAAACTAGAACGGATGAAAATTTACTTATTTATATTATATCTTGAACACGTCTCTTCTCTTACATGTTGAATTCAATTTTTCATTGAAGACTTTGATGCTCGGGGAAGGCTTACATGCTAACAAGTGGAGATACCCGCGAAAACCAAAGGACTATTTGCTCTTTGAGGAAAGAACCATGCTACATGTACCAAATTTTTTTTACCTAATCCCTTACCGACTACTAATGATAGGGGGTGAGGACCACATTTTGAAATTTTTTTATTCACATGAGTCTCACGTGCATGTGATTAGGCGTAAACAATTTGGTACATATTTGGGTGTACAAATAGAATTATTCTCGGGAAAGAACAGATGACACAATATTTTTGTATCCTCTAATAACGTGGAAACAGTCCATCCAAATTCTTAAGCTTTCGAACAGAATTGTCATAAATTGGTAGAGGTGACACTTGAACTCATGCCATACTAATTTTTTTGTCTAAAGTATTGTACTTTTAAAGAAGAGATGAATTTATTTGTATTCGTATTTTCAACACGTTTTGCTTCGTGAATATGCAGGTTCAACTGGGGATTGAGTGTACAGAAGAAATCTGAAAAAATTCTGAATCTTCTTGAAGATAGGCCATATCTCAAAGAAGAGAGAGCAAAAGCAAGAAAAGTAACATTTGGAATCAAAGGCTTTGGAAGTTTTAGCAAGTGGCCTGCAGAAGGGGGTCTGAAAGAAGCCAGTTTTGAAAATTATTTGAGATCACAATCTCTCTTCAATGGCCATTATGAAGAAGAATTGGCATCAAATGAACACACCAATTTATTAGCCATGGAAAAGGCTGCTAAAAGTTCAAATACAGTGCTTGATTATGTGGTAGAAGAGGACCATCCATTCTGGGAGAAGGAGCACCAGACTAGAGTCTCCCTACTTTCCTCGGTATAATGAAATGTCATCGACCAACCAACCTGTCGGGTCTTTTCGTGTTGTTCATAAGTTGGGAGAAGGTATGTTCGTCCGGTGGGCCGAGATATTTGTTGAGTAGCAGAAACTAGTAATTGGAACTTGTCTAATATTGGGGTTTGGATGACTATATATGTTTCTTTTTCTGAGGGTAAACATAGATGTCTTGTACTCCTCGTACAATAGACAATAGTTTGTTGGTGTTTGATATGGGTAAACTCAAGCTAAAACAAGTTCATGGATTGCATTTTATAGGTAGCCCCCATGTTTCTTCATGTGAAATTTTATACCGATTATTTGAAAATCACTTCTTCGATACACTTATTTTTCGTTTTATAAATATGTTGACGAGATTTGATTTTATAACATTTGTGCACTATAATATCTTGTGGAATCACCTTATTTTAAAATTGAAGCTTTTAGATGAAGTTATATTGACATAGCGATTGTGTTGAGCCATATTTTTTATGAAGAATGCATTTTGAAATAGTAAATTGATGAAGAATGTGTGACTAAAAAATAAGAAAAAGTTCTGGTTCTGCATGTAATATTATTTTATTGAATGATACATGACTGAAAAGAATAGAGAAAAAAATATATTTCGAAAATAAAAGGAATCAAACAAAGGTGTAATGTGATCTACACAGAGAATAAAAAATGGACTGAGGACAATGGTAAAAAGGGCGTATGCTCAAGGCCTACTTCAATGGCGAATTTAACTAATGAGATTTCCACTTTACGAGCATTTGCTCGGCTAAGAATGTTACAGATGAATTGATCACATGAAATGGTCATGAGATATGTGTCGAATGGATTGATCAAACAAGTGATTAAATTTTATTCAATCGTGACAAATAAATATACCCCTATTTTAAGAGAAAATTTTGAAGTTTTTCTTCGTTAATTCCTCTATTTTTCAATTTTATTTTGATTTATCTTCTTTGTCAATTGCATACGATCTAACAATTTTAGATTTAACAGTTTTATTGAGGATACAAAACATTACAATCTATGTTATGATACGTTTATAATGAAATAGGTTTCATGTAGACATGAAAAAATTTGTTTCCAACTTGGCTCAATTATAAATAAGAATAGAATCCATATTATGATAAGTAATATTTTTTATAGAACTTGTCTTAAGGAACTTGCTTCTACATAATAATAATTATATTTATATTGCCAAAAAAAAAAGTATATACGATATATTATAATAACATTTTAATGTGAAATAAAATATTTATTTAAATTTGTTTGGGATTAAAAATATATGTTATGTTACATTAGATTTTTAAAATGACTCACATATTTCTAATATTAAGAGCATTTTTAAGAGACTTTTTAAATATGAGATATTCTCTATTTTAAAAAGTCAATCATTAAAATCATGTTTTAAGAGACTTTTTAAATTAACATTTTAATTTAGAACACGTGTTTGGCTCTCAAAATTCACTCCATATTATTAAATGCATTCAAACCGTTTCTATGTAGGAAAATAATAAAATAATCTCGAGGAAGACTAATTAAAATAAAAGAAAGGAAAAATAATAAATATTTTTTTGTAGTAGTAAAATTAATAAAAAGTTTGTTGAAGTACTTAAAAATTTTAACTTTTTAAATTTATAAATGTTCTTTAAATGATAGAATATACTCTTTAAAATTGAAGAGTTTTGGAGATAATCTAAATACATATATCTATGACTTTTATCAATATATCCATAGCTTGAATTTGACTTGCTCTGAATTATTTATTAATATACTTCATACTTTACCTCTATTCTAATTGCACTAAGATAATTGGGTCAAAACAATGATTTTTATAAGGAAAATGCTGACAGGAGCTTGACAAGGCTCCTAACAAGCACCTATGTGGCGCCTCCTTATTGGGGGCCAAATTGACTGCAACACCCCTTTGTTCCTATTTCATTTTACACAATTGCCCTTCAATATTAACAAACCGGTCTCCTTCCCTGCACAAACCCACTCCCCCATTGCCTTCCCTCTCCAGCGATTCAGTGAACCCAGATCTGGCGAAGAGAACCGAAGTTGCATATCGGCGGTGAAAATGTTGCTCAGCCCAACGGTGCCGGTTGACCCTTGTGCGAGGCCACGATCGAAGTCCTCCCCATCTTCACCCGACGACGCCTAACCTTTGGGCTCGACTTCACAGTCCACCGGTGCACCAACTTCCTGGGACTCCAATCTGCAGCAACCGAAAATGGCCTACAACGCCGGCGATTTTGGCTATTACCCTGAAACCATGGTATGCCTTCAACTCAACTGGTTCCCCCTCCCCCTCCGTGTTGCATCCCCACCACATAGCTATTGACGCCTGTACGCACCTCCTACGTTAGCTGTTGCCGCCATTCACTCAAATCCATAGACAATTATTGGTCCCAATTTTGTAGTAGTACAATTCATTTCTTCTCTGTTTCGTATTTGCAAAACGGTTATGTCTATGCATTTGTTGTCTTGCTGTGATCCACCGGCTGCAGAGTCGTGGCAATTGTTGCTTTTGTGCTTGGAAATAAATGCATTGTTTCAATTACGGTAAAAGTGGAACTAGCAAATGCCCACAATTTTCACGTTGTTGCCCAATTCTTCGGCTTCGCAGGAAGAGACTTGACGTCGTCCTGAACTGGTCGCTTCTGTTATTCTTTACCAACGTATTTCAACTTTTTTTTTTGTCGACAGCATCTAGAGTATCCTCCCTTCCTCCTGCATTGTGGGAAATGGGTTGTGCTAAACTTATTGACTAGCATTGAGATTAGTCTTCCAATTTTGAGTGACTCCATTCAACATAAGTCTACCTTTGACGGACACCGTTGCGTATGTTTCTATAACCGTTGCATATTAATGACGAAACCTGTAGTTTTCAAGTATGTTTTTATCAATATCATCTTATTCCGTACAGAGAGGAACATCTTGGAATTGTTTTGCATAATTTGCATTTATGTGTGTGCAAAAATTCTGTTTTTCAGTTCACAATATTAGTTTATATTTCAAGCTATATATATGAATCCTTCTCATTAAAATAAGTATTACCAAGTATTCATGTCTGGCTTCACGCTGTTTTATATACAGTCACGGCATAGAAGCTCATATTGCTAGCATTTACTTGAGCTTTACAGTTACAGTCTTACACTATACTGAAGAGCTGCCACAGTACCATTACTTCACACTTTGAAGCTCATATTGCAAGCAACTACTTGAGCGTTGCAATTACATTATTACATTGAACTGAAAAGCAGCCACACTACCATTTCATTCACACCTTCACACTTAACTTGTGTTTTCTAACAAGCTCTTACAACTCTGATGTTCAACATTTGTGCAGAACTACACTACACAAAATCTGGACTCCATGCCCGTCGCATCATCGAACCCGAACATGGAAAACAGGCCAGAGCCCGCAAGTGTGCTAGATGCGAACCTCGCGAGCAGAAGATCTTCATGTCGGCCGCCGAACACGTCACTGCAAAGGTACACCGTCATGGAAAGTGCTTCTCTTCAACAGGGTGAGAGCGATTACGCGACTTGTTCAACAAAAATGCAGGGAAGAACTAGACTACGGCACAGCTGAAAAACCATTAGGGTGCTATGTGCACGGACCGCAAACTACTTTTTGAGCTGCTCCAGTCGACGGGAATAGCATGTGGTCTAAGCACCGGGGGCAGAATTGACGCTCCGGAATGGTGGTGGAAGCAGAAAATTAAGGTAACCACACAACCCCAAAGACAAGTTATGCTATCTTGCTTAGAAACGTTTTGACATTTGGAAAACTCGTTAATACTTTCCTAATGCTCCCGTGTTCGATTTCAGGAGAACCCCAGGTATGGAAAGTTCAAGGACAATGACAACATCGAGATCTACCATAAATATAGCCGTCTGTTTGGAGGAAGTTGTGACTCCATGAAATACGCATTGACACCCACGAAGCTGTCGCAACGTGGTTTTGACTTGGGCGCCAACTTCGACTCTGATGATCCGAACGATACGTTACCTATCAACACCGAGACGACAGATTCGAGCGATGGCCCGACTCCAGGAAGAGCGAGCTCCTCAATGAATATCTCTCGAGGGCGAAGCGACGAGAAACGTAAGGAAAAACATGCAAAGGGGAAGCAAAAGAAGTTCGGGGCGAGGGAGGCTTCTGAGTCAGTGGACAACCTCGCTTGTGTATCGAAGGAGATGGCCTCGGCGATCCGCGCAAAAGAAGAGGGGCGTATGACGCTCCACGAATGCATAGATGATTTGCTTTCGACTGGGCTTGTCGAAGCCGGGGATGAGTTGCACATGTTCGCGTTGTGGTTCCTACGAAGCTCCGAAAATCGTGTTGCGTACAGTGCTGCTAAAACGCCGGAGATGCGCTACAAGTGGATCGCGTATTGTTTTGAACGCGACAAAATGCTGGGTTCTGGGAGCCGGTGATCGTGCTCAGACTGTTTGTGTCGTTGCTTTGCCTTCGTTTTAACGCTTTATAAATTATCATCGTTATTGGTTGTTGTAATAATACTTTGATGTTCGCCTTCTTGTTCGCACGTTTTACGCACTACTACCCTGTGCGCTATGTATTCCTTACTGCTGCATGTAATGAAAATATCTGCATCTGACACGTTTTCATGCACGGCAACACCTATTTCATTCTCTTGTACCCGTGACTGTCGTAAATGCTGTCAATAGCTCGGGGAGAACGAGAAATTTCGAGCTGAAAAACGTTGTGCCCACATACACAACTATTACATATTTTCAGTAACGTATGTGCGTACAACGCGTAACAATTCAAAACGTGCTAGAACGGCATACACTGTAAACTTTCATATTAAATAATGATGCACACATTATTTATGTAAAGTGCTTATTCTACTGCTGCAACATAGAGAAATATACTCGTAGCTGTACGGAATCACTAACTGATGGAGAAAGATGTTCCTACAGGGGACTCAATTATTATGTAAATTTACATAATTATACCCCTTATAGTTTGATGTGATGGCATTGCTCATGGCAGATACATAATTTTGGACATAAATAATTGCGTATGACATAATCCACCTCTGCCCAAACGCTGTCCTCCTACTCTGACAAGTTCAGACCAAGGTCAATTACTATAGGAAATCAACTACTTATCCCCATAGTTAATTGCGTAGCACATAATGAATCACTGCCTAAACGTTGTCTTCCTACTCAGACAAGTTAACACAAATGTCAATGACTCTACTAAAGCAACTAACTTTCCCAAATAATGCGATCGCGTAGACTCCGTAGTTATGAACTTTGTGTGTGTTGCAGCAAAGATTCCCCGCGTGGTACAAGGCATATGTCGCTTATGTTCTGCACCTTCTGCAGGCATGCTAGTGGTATCAATAATTGTAAACACACACTGTGAAATGTTGAGTGCACGCATTGCAAATGCTCCTGCTATAAGAAGGTTATTCCCCTAATTGGCGAAGTCGCAGGTCACGCATCTATAATCCGAATTACAGTTGCAAGTTGACGTTGAGGAGTAAAGTGAATTGAGTTTTGTGGCGGCCCTTCGTTTATTGGAGATGACGGACATGTTCGGTTCGCAGACGTTATCCGAAACCGACTGTGACATCGTGTCGAACTCCTGTTCGGACGACGGTTCGGACGAAGACGTACTTCATCACTTGGAGGCGGATATGGTGGTGTGGCAACAATATTGTCGTATCGCGAGCGAATGGTGCGCCAGTACCTCATGCAGGATCCGGCTCACCGTTACTTATTTCCTACAACACGAAGCGGCCATATCTTCATATTGCAGAACATGCATGTGTATCCTCAAACATGCTATCAGGAGTTTAAGATGTACCCTCCCATGTTCAGGCACTTTGTATACGTGTTGCGAGATCGCTATGGATTGGAAAATAGTACGAGCATCGATACGTACGAGCAGGTCGGAATGTTTTTGTGTATAATGGCGCATGGGAAAGGATATCGCCAAGTGCAAACGTTGTTTGGACATTCACTGCAGACCGTCGGCCATTATTTCAAGCGTGTCCTTCGCGCCGTCGTTGCGCTGGCAGCAGACATGATCCGGCCTCATGAAAACTACAACCGTGGCGCCGGAAGTCATCATCCTGATCCGCACCGATATCCGTTCTTCCAGGTACGTTTACGGTGCTGCACTTTGTCTCGGTGCTAAAGTAAAAATGTACATTATTTTTTTCGCGTACTTGACATGCGTTGACAATGGACGGCGCAAGATTGTATTGGAGCTATCGACGAGACCCATGTGTGGGCAGTGTTGCCACGGCGTAGAAGAATTAACTTCATAGGCCGAAAAGGGGTGCCCACTCAGAACGTCTAGGCCGCGTGCGATTTCAACTTGTGCTTCACATTTGTGTTGCCGGGAAGCATGGGACCCACGCACGACAGCCGCATACTAGCCCGCGCGGTGCATAGTCCGGACATACACTTTCCGGAACCGGCTGACGGGAAATATTACTTGGTGGACTCTGGATTTGCACATCGGCCGGGGTACATGGCACCGTACAAGGGGTCGGATGTACGTTACCACTTCCAAGAATTTCATGATCATGGAGGCGGTCGACGTCGATTTCGTAATGCATGCGAGAGGTTCAACTTTCATCACTCATCATGTCGAAACATTATTGAGCGTGCATTCGAAGTTTTGAAGCAACGATGGAAGATTCTGGACAGGATGCCTAGTTATTCATATCGAGCTCAAATCGCTGTGGTCGTGGCAGCAATGGGAGTCCATAATTTCCTGCGGTGCAACGGACAGCTCGATGAGGGATTCCATAGGGCCGAAGAAGTCGAGGTTGATTTACCCGATGAGGAAGACGAAGTAGCAGCGGAAGAGGATGCCGTTGCGGACGAGAATGCAACATGGACCCAGTTAAGAGATTACATAGCGCACACGATACGTTGACTAAGTGAACGCTACCTTAATGTTGACTGCCGGTATGAAATTGTAAATTACGAATGGAATGCATTTTGGAATTTGTGAATTTGTCTCGATGCAAAAAACTCATAAAATATTACTCTCGTCAAAATCACGCCCTGCAATGAATTTCATTTAATGTGGAAAGACGTAACGATTTTTCTAATTTATTCACATGACATGAATTCCATTCCAACGTGGAACGACGTAAACATTTTTTGTATTTATTCACATGTGAGCAACGGCATTTTCCATGAGAGGGGCAGTACCGTCATTTTCATAAAGATGTAATTGTCTTCAAAATTCGGAATTCAACATTTGCAACCCTAGTGTCAGGGACTGTCCATGAAAAAGAAACATGGCTCCCATGTGCCCTCCATTTTTGATTGAAGAAAATGAAAGGTAACGGAAGAAAATGGGGCTCAGACACAAGCCTATTGAGAATGTGTGGTTAAAAAGTGAAGTCCTACTTAGGTTTCATTATAATTTTAATACATTTTTTCCTCTCATCTTTTTAATCACATATTATCCAACCCTTATTTGGTATAGATTAAAATTCAAATTTTAATTCAAGCTAAAGTCAATAATTAATTTTAATCATATATTTCATGAGTTCCACAACTTTTTAATTACACATTTCATTATTTTTTTTTTATCAAAATCTAAAAAAAAATTAATTTTAATTCCTACCACGTAAATCCAAAATTTTTCTTTCTTTTTTTAACCATATATTTTTTTAAAAAATCATCATTCCAAAACATATTTTTCCCAAAAACACATTAAGAGCCTATTTGACCCTAATTGCTTCCTAAAAATGTATTTTGAAATAATAAATTGATAGAGAATATGTGGTTAAAAAATAAGAAAATATTTTAGATTTATATATATTATTATTTTATTGAAAAATGTGTAGTTGAAAAGAAGAAAGATTAAAAATGTATTTGGAAATAATGGAGATAAAACAAAGGCCAAAATAGATCCCAAACAATGGCTTAATGTGTGAATGTGTAGTTGAAAATAAATATAAAAAAATAAATTTGCTTTTCTTTTTCGTTTGTTTCAAATTATATGTCGCTTTCTTTGTTGAGTTTTCTAATACGCTCCTATTAAATGTGCTTTATTATCAACAAATATGATCAACTACTTTTTAAACTATTATTCGATATATATATATATATTTTCTTAATCAATGTAAAAATAAAAATATTTTTATAGGACGAATGTACTAATAAAATTAGTTTGATCCACACACTATCATTATAATAGAAATTTTACTCTAATTATAGGAATAATTTGCTATCTCCTTGAGTGTATTTAAAGCCTATAATTAATTAGTTTGATTTTTTTTTTTCACAATAATTATGATAACCTTGCTATATGTACATCAAATTTTATATAATGGATTACATAATGTCACATATTATTATATTATTTGTAAGTTTAAAACATAGTCAATTTTTTCATCTAATATTTTCATTCCATATCATTTTATATAATTCTTTATATATATCATTTTTATGTACAAGTAGTATAATCCTTATTATATTATTTAAATATGTCATTCAAAAGCATGTCAACATATTTAGCCCCTGATTGAGCTCCATTAAAAATATATTTTGGAAAAAAAAAATTGTTGTAGTAATTTTTTTTGGTGTTATTAGAAATAAAGAAAAATTTTAAATTTACGTATAATATTATTTATTAGAGAATGTGATTGAAAAATGAAAAGGAAAATGACTTTTTTTTTTTTTTTTTTTTTTTTTTTTTTTGGTAGAATGGAGTCCAAATAAGGGCTTATGAACCATAATTTTTGCACTTTTCATGTTGAGCCTCATTTTTTCATCAAAATATATTTTTTAATAGTTATATGATATTATTTCAATAAAATAATATTACATATAAATTTAAAAAAATTTCTTATTTTTTAACAACATATTATTCATCGTAATACTATTTAGAAATATATTTTTTTTAAGAAAAATGGGCTCAAACATCCCCAAAATTTAATAATAAGAAAGACAAAAATTAAAAAGTAAAAAGGAAAAATATATAGCCATTTGGTAGCCATTTTCTTCAAAATGTATTTTTCTCTCTCTTCTTTTTAACCACACATTCTTCATTAAAATAAAATTACACTCAAATCAAAAAAAATTTATTATTTTTTAATCACACATTTCACATCAATTTACTTTTTTTAAAATACATTTTTATAGAAAAATGTCTATCAAACACCTCTATAATAAAATACACTGTCTACCTATCATTTTGTTACTGTCACTCTTTATACGCGCCTACACACCCTCTCCCATTCATCATTTTCGTTACCTCTCTCTAGACATCACCGATACAGCCACAGCCTCCATCTTGATTCTTGACCACTCGTCTCCTCCTCTCAGTAAATCTATCTATCTCACAAACACAGCAAAAAAACAAGAAAAAAATTATATATACACACAGTATTGTATTGAATTGTACATTTGTACCCCATAATTCCCTGGCCAAGGTAGAGATACAGATTCCAAAAAATAACTAGTATTATTGTATATTTATGATGGCGGAGCTGGCGGCGTCTGAAGTTTACGCGCCACGTACAATACAGCTTTGGAGGGCACTCTTGAACTGGTTGGCCTTCTTCTTCCAGATCTTCGCTCAGGTCCTCCGGGGAACTCCTTCGTTCACTCAGGTCCTCTCGTATGTCGGCCTGCATCACGGCTCCTTGCTGTCTCCTCCTCACGCTCCGCCTCATTTTAAGCCTTTGCCGGTAGTTGAGCTGTCGGAGTTTGGAGAAGACCCACCTTCACCGCCTACACACCCACCCCTGGCCTCCTCTGTTCCAATAGCCGGTGGAGGGAGGGTGCTAGTTGCTTCGTCTTTGGAGAAGCTAACGGTATTTTCTTTTAGTTTGAGTTGTGAATTTAAATTGGTATCGATTTGATTAAAGTAGGCATAAAGAAAAATGAATGAAAATTTTGAGTTAGTTATTGTCATGAATGTGACTAAGAGATAATGAATCTCATATTTAATGGATTGTGATCTATTACTATAATCAAGGGAATCTGAAATCCCTAAACTTAAAATTCCCAGAAGCCAACTTGAGTTCGGAATTGAATCAGTTGGAATCTAGATTCAGCGAATAAAGGATAGACTAGCCATATCAAGGTTAAAAAGCTTGCTCTTGGTTCTTTGTGTCAAACTAAACGTTGCCACCAATACTAAATTGTCCTGAAGACATGGTTGGTTGCTAAGGTTGGACATGTTGAAGAAGATGGTGTTTTTAATTTATAAAGCTTTGAGAAAGAGGTGTCAGCTCTTTGAGGAAGTTAGCATCTAAGGCTAACTGGCTAAGAAGGTGTGACTCAGAGTGTGAAGTCCAACAGTAAAAGAACTAGAATAGATGGATAAATAAGCAAATTCCTATACTGCCAATAGGCTGGAGAATGAGAATAGTGCAGGCAAAGCCCAGGTAAAAGGGACCAAAACTGGCACTAAGTGAAGGTGCCAGATCACACTGAGAAGAGAATAAAGATGGACCACTTGGTCGAGCTACAAGAATTATAGTGGTGATGGTGGTCCGTTGGTCAATGCATAGAGAGAAGGGATACCGTCTGCTGACTGACAGGAAAGCGAATATACTGCATAATATTCATTTAATTAATATTGAAATGTCTAAAGGGGCCAAAGATTAAAAAAATTCAGCGGGGAGTACGGCACTAGGTGGTTTGCCAATGAGTAGAAGTGATGGCAAGCTTAATTCAATGTGATTTAAAGCTGCTCTGTCACCATATTAGATGAAGAAAGATAGGAAACTTATCTTATTTTTTTATATATTTCTCTATTCCATAATGACCAATATTTATACTTGAGCAATAAAGATATATAAAAAATTCAATTGATATTTCATGGGATTATGTTTAGGAGATCCCTTATTTTATAGTATTGTGTAAAATTGCTACAATCAAAGGATCATTAAGCACCTCACCTACATCTGATGATGGAAATATTAAGTGCAGGATTGACTTTATGAAGTGCTTGAGTTGATTTTTCGCCTTTTGATTCAATTTATTTAACTAATGCCATAGAATGTAATTTCTGCGATACGGAAGTAACACGGCATTTTTTTTGGGAAATTTGCATGCCATTTCATTGCGACTGATCCATTGAATTTGATTCTCTTTTAGTTGACCAGTGACTCCAAGAAAAAAATGTGATGTATATGAGGTGGCTGGAGACCGGAATAAATGGAAACATAAAGAAACATTTTTATATAATTAGTCACACATGTTGGGGATATGGCCTTATGAAATCAATGAATTGCAAGAATACGGTCTTCTTTCTCCCATGCACGAGGGGATTAGAGGTTGGAGGATTGGATCAAGGATAAGATTTACCTGTCAAATAAAATAGGGAAAGTTAGATCAGATGATGGATTACTAAATCTAGAGTGAGTCATAATGAAGACTTTTGTAGTGAGTCATAATGAAGACTTTTGTAAAATTTTATCTTGATATAAGATAAACAACTAAATAAATTCTGCAGAACATCAGAAGAAATTGTTCATCTCAAATCGTTATTAGGCTGACAAAGTTTTTTCTGTCTATAGATGCTTAATTGCAACATAAAATTTCTTATCCATTCTCACCCATTTACTACGAGCAGGTGGTTCTTGACTTGGACGAAACTCTGGTCTTTGCATATGAGACGTCAAGTTTGCCTGCTGTGATACGTGCTCGGGCCACTGAAGCTGGTTTGAAATGGTTTGAACTAGAATGCGTCTCATCTAATAAGGTTTGTTAAATATCTGTCAGACATTAATCATAAAGTAAAAAAGTCTACGGTTAATCTTAACATTTCATATCCCTTTCACCTTTTTTCCATGGGGCTTCAAGGAATTTGAAGGCAAACCTAAGATCAACTATGTGACAGTGTTTGAACGTCCTGGATTGAAAGACTTTCTAGAACAACTAAGTGAATTTGCAGATCTTGTGTTATTTACTGCTGGACTTGAAGGTTTTTCGATTTTCCACAACATCAGAATTTTGTTTATTTCTATCATTATACATGTTCTTTAAATATTTTATTTATTTTATTCTTGCAGGCTATGCCAGACCACTTGTTGACAGAATAGATGCTGAAAATCGATTCAGTCATAGGCTGTATCGGCCTTCAACAATTAGCACGTAAGTGTAGAAGCTTATGTAGTGTGGTGAATTTGTATACAGTACTCATGCCATTTTTGCATGTTCCTTACGGCTTAATGTCTTTGATGTATTCAATGGCAGCGGAGGTCGGGTGGTCTTATATTCTTTTCTTTATACAAGACTCATTAATCATTAACAAGATATCTTTATATATTTCTAAGATGTATTATATTTGACTAACATGAAAGATAAAAGAGAGAGAAATATAAGTACAATAGTCAGGAGATACACTAAAGCATCTACTATTATTCATGCTGGTATACATGTCTTGCGGTATTATAATAACATCAAAGACATGAACGACCTGTCAACTTCAGCGTTTATAGCCCTCTCATTAGTCATAATTTTTGAAACAAATATTAGAGTGAATGGGGTTGCTTATAAGCATTTTTAGGGGTTGATTACAATGCATATAAGCAGAAAATGTTTAATATCGCTTATAAACACTAGCTTATATTTATAGGAAATTCTTTTTGACAAATTAGTCTAGCCTCACGAAAATATTTTTGGACATTTCATTCGATAGTTTCTTCCAGTGCCAAATGGCAATTGGGAGAACTAAACATATATTTTTTTTTTTTGAAAGCTTTTGTTAATTTTATATCTTCTTTTGTAATCTTAGATTTTTGAACTAGTTTCTATTCTTTTTGTACTCTGCTTATTGCACAATTAGATAATTTTATTTTATTTGAGTTTTCAGTGGTAGGCATTAGGTTTGGACCTCTAGCAATAAAATTCAAATAAACATAAGATTGACTCATCCTTCCTCTTATCTCTCTTTTATTTATTTATTTTTTTTTTTCCGCTGTTGAATCTTGGAAGCTAGAATCCATGCACTAAGTCACACCGTACTATGTTTATATGTTGGATAATATTATGTTGTTATGATTGGCTCTTGGTAGAAGTCTTCAACTCCCCTTTCTTCCCCTCAAAATAATTTCACATAAATAGGGCAGTCCATTTGAGTTCAAGAAAGGGGAAGCTTGAATAAAATTACAGTGTTCATAAATTATGTCAATCGTTGCATGTGGCCTTTCAAGATCTCACGTGAATTTCTGAGTTTGGTACAGTGTTCGAAGAATTATTTTCTATTCAAGGTCATGTTGGAAAAACAATGAATTCTTTGTTTTCTTACTTTCTGGAATAGGAGAATACAAAAGGTCTTAATTTCAATTTTTTTTTTTAAGACTATCTAGATTAAGTTTGCTAGCAGTTATTTTCAATTTCCAAATTGGAAGTTGGATTGCTAATAGAATAGTACAAGTCTAAGTTGAAATATGACTTCCATTTTTATTCACAATCACATAAATTTTGTTATTTTTTCCCTCTTGCATTGCATGATGCATTTTGTCAGGGTGCAACATGCCTATGAATTCTAGGAATGATTCCATGAAAATCAGTTCTTTCCTCATCTTCTTTTCATATATTTTCCAGAGTCGAAATCTCTAAACGTAATAAATCTGAATGGAATTTTGCTGTGCACAAGCATTCATAACCACAAGCATTATGTAGCTCATATCTTTTCCATAAAAAATGTCTCCTACAACTTCCACCCTGCATCCAAATGCAAAGCAGAAATACCGCTGCTGATCATATGTGCACCCCATACCACCAGGCAGCATAAAGAAAGCTTTTTTTATGCTTCAACGACCAACTCCATCAGCATAGTAGCTGAGTAGCTGAACCACCATAGCCAACGGAACTTCCAGAAATGTATTGTCTTCCACACGACTTAAAATTTCAAGTCCACTTTTAGAGTTAATTTTTTTGTTTCTGGGGTGGGG